GGAGTGCTGCTGCGCTCCCAGCGCCACACTCTCCCGAGTGCGCCACGGGCTTGGCCCAAATAATTTTCTTAATATTGAATACATAAGTGGAACAGACAGGATTAAAATCAAGGTGTGTTTAACTCCAAGGCCTATGTGCTTTCCACTGTACCAAATGGTTTTCTACTACTACAAAATGTCAAACGACTTTAAAAAGAAAGAAAAGAAAAAAAAGAAAACAACCAAAGGAAATAGCCTCTATTTTCAGGTAGCACTGTTGCTAAACTATAAATTAAGATATTTAATTTGAACATTGGCACAAGTACCTAAAAAGAATATGTGAGATTCCTTGGATCTTCTTCCTATCATACCAGCATTTCAGAGGAGCAAAAGCGGTGACATCAAAAGATGCTGGCACTATTGATATTTTGGTCAAGAAAATTCTTTGTTGAGCTATCTTGTGCACTGTAGGATGTTTAGCAGCATCAGTTATTTCTTAAAATATAACTGGACAATCAGAACTGTAGATATCCTGGTTAAAGATTCTGTACAGCTGATATAAGAAGCATTAAATAAATACATGCACTTATGGTATACTTTGTACTGCATGAAGACAGCACTAGAGCTTAGTCTATTAATTGTTTTTAGAGTGTCTCTTTGTTCAGGAAGATTGTAATCATTTTTAAACCGTCTCTTTAGAGTCATCAACATTCAAGAAGTATCCCCAAAATGTACTACTACAACATATATCAAGTCACACACTTGCAATAAATTAATTGATGGTAAGAAAGTGCAGATTGTTCCTTCCCATTAAAATTCTTTGTTTAAAATTCCTTGTTAAAAAGACTCATTATTATTAAGAAAAAATACCTGCGTCAGAAAGTTTCCAGGAAGATCATAGGTTTTGCACAGTTCTGATATGGTTACCTGACCACTTTCTTGCAATTTATCATTTACCTCTTCAGCTAACTGATCCAAATAGTTCCTAATAATGAAGAAAAGAACAGGTAAAAAAAATTAGGAGTAATGGTTTTTCTCAATTTTCTCTTTTATGTTTATTTTTTGTTGAAATAAGTTTGCTCCAAAAGTAATAAATAGAATATGTGTACATAAGCACCATTCATTACTCATATTCTAAAAATTATTTTTTTNGGTGGGACACAAAGCCACTGAGATGAAGTTGATGACATAGGGCAAAAGGAAATAATTGAGAAGGTAGTTTTCTGAAAACTAGAGCTTGTCACATGGATCCAAACATTTCAGAAATTCTTATTTTAGAAAAATTAGTGATTTTGAAAGTAAAATTGTTATTTATTAGAATTATAAACTGTTATTGGGTAAAAAGGATACTAAAATCATCTAGCCTCATCTGAGACCCAAAGAAGTTAAGTGACTGACTCATCTGCTCAAGGTTACATGGTTACTACTATGTGATAGAGCTGTGACCGAAATTCTTCTGAGTTTAAATTGCATACTCTTTCCATGATTCCGGGGTGACTTTGATATACTGATCTGGGCAGCAGTTCTTAAACTGCGTTCCGCATAAGTGCATCTGGGGTTATGAGGGTGGTGAAGGTAGGGAAAAGGAGAAGTGGATTGGAGAGAGTTAAGCTGCATTCTAGGACTCTAGAATCCCCACTCCCTTTTCACAAAGCTCCCCCACTTCTATCTGTTTAATAGACTGGGGACCTAAATGAGATTTTGTTTAAAAAAAAAGATTCAGCTGCTAGGGAAAAAAATGCAAACAAACAATGATCAAAAAAAAACAAACACACATACTTTAAAACATGCTTACCGGGTAATAGCACTGAATAGTCCACGGATGCGTGCTTTATGTCGAGCTACAAAAGCTTCAGTAAAAATTACTCCTCTATTATCAAGATCAATATGTCCACTGATAATTCTACCAAGTCGCTGAGTTAGTGCCTGGGGGTAAAGACATAAGTTTTTATTAATTTGAAAAAACAAAATTACACATATGAATTTGTAGAGTCATACTCAACTCATGCTGCAAGCTGATATTGTATCAATCATGTGATTGAGAAATTTCAACAAGCATACAAGATATATAAATTAAAATGAAGATTCAGGTTCTAGGAAACTTCATTATCTCATAGCAGAGCCAAGAAATGAGTCAAATTGCTAAATAAATTTACTTTTAATGTAAAATAAAAATGACTGTTTAACTAACTTTCTAGATATAGGCAGCTTCCAACATATAGACAACCAACACATACAGATTCAGACTGTACTCTAGCTTTTAACACTAACAGAGAGGAATACGAGGGTGCTTCAAAAAGTTCATGGAAGGGCCGGCCCGGTGGCGCACTGGATAAGTGCGCCGCTTGAGAAGCGCGGCGGCGCTCCCGCCCGAGGGTTCGGATCCCACATACAGACCAGTTCCCGCTCACTGGCTGAGTGAGGCGCGGGAGCAACACCGAGGGTTGCAATCCCGTTGCCGGTCCCCGGTCCGGTACAGGGGCAACACTGAGGGTTGCGATCCGTTGCCGGACACGGAAAAAGACAAAAAGACAAAAAAAGTTCATGGAAAAATAGAATTAAAAGATAATACAAAGTTCATGGAAAAAAAATTAAAAGATAATACA